AATGACCATTAATGACATTGAAGTTGGGAACATTCCTAATGGAGTATCACCCAACACAGGCGTCACCGTCGCCACGCGTTACAGCACCCACCCTTTCCTTCCGATCCCCAGCAACTCTCACCGTCGCCACGCGTTACAGCACCCACCCTTTCCTTCCGATCCCCAGCAACTCTCACCGTCGCCACGCGTTACAGCACCCACCCTTTCCTTCCGATCCCCAGCAACTCTCACCGTCGCCACGCGTTACAGCACCCACCCTTTCCTTCCGATCCCCAGCAACTCTCACCGTCGCCACGCGTTACAGCACCCACCCTTTAATCCGATCCCCAGCAACTCTCATCGTTCCCGGATACCATAATCACACAGACATAGAACACCTTCGCCACGTGTTACAGCACCCACCATTCCCTTTTGCTAAATCACATTAATTGTCAACATTATCAGACACTAAAACCACACGCACCCGATGCCACAACGTGCTACAGCACCCTTACCCTTCCCATCCTGTCCGCGGCGACTCTAACCAGCAGCTCAGCGCCCCCTACGCTTTTCCCCGCGCGCAGCCGCGTCACCATCCAGTCCAGCAGCTCCTGCTGCACGTCCTTGCAGAACTCGACGACGACGAGCGGAGGAAATCCAGCGTCTAGCGCCGGCGATGCAGACTTCGTCTGTCTCTCCATGGCGACGGGCGTGGCTTCAGTGGACAGCGACCTCTGGGACAGGTAGGTGGAGCTGATCAGCTCGAAACGATACCTGGAATGATAGACGGAGGAGATTCGTGAGCGATGGACGCGTCTGTGTGATTTATATTTCTCCCTTCCCAATACACGCACAATATTATTGACAATAGTATTGTCAATAATGAATATTGACAATATTATTGATCGTTAGTGTGCAACATTGAAGGAAAATTTTGACTTGCACAATATTCTGACAGAATCAAAACCCAGTAGATATTTATTGAAGGTTCTCATTATCCACTCATTGTCTCATTGTACAGATCCGTCTGTTCACCTTCAGCATCAGGGCATAAATGACGATATTGCACAATATTATTGTGCCGTTGGTGGCCAACAGAATTTCTTGTCAATAATTATTCAATTGCATCAATATTATTGTCAATGATACTGTCCGTGTATGGGCCACTTTAGGCTGGTCGTCTCCAGTTACTGTCTGGTTGGTTGCTTACTACGTGGTTTCGAGGGAATGCGTTGAAGACAATGTATAACAATTGAACAATGTTTAAATAAATGATCATCAATACATCATACATAATCAGACATTTACGAACAGGAAACTCCGGTGAAATATATTCATACTCTGAACTAGAATTGGCTTGAACGAGAATATTTTCTTATACAATATCTTGATGTGTGTTGATGATGATTTGAAAATGACTAAACATAATACCATGTTGGATAAAAGGGTACTTAACACAGACTATTGAAAAACACAACGAAGCTAGACCATCACACATTGCAATACAGCTAGCTAAATAATATGACATGGTGCACACATAGACATACGCCTACCCAAAACAAAAGACAACTAAGTATGATAAAATATAAACATCATTCTATATGATATATGAATAAGTAGAGATAGTACAAGTGAAACAGACAAAATACCACATCCAGATCTATTTCTTTTCTTTTTTTTTAAATTATAAGAAGAAAACCACACAAAAATTATGAAATCAGACCAATTCATACTCTGACAAATCAAGTTCCTATACACAGTGCTAACTTTATACATAAGAAGGCAAACAATGTATGCTGTAGTGAGATTTTCGCAACAGATCTTTGAAATAAGCAGAAGCAGCAGGTCGTTGTGACCGTGAACCTACACACATACATGAAAGTACATACAACTTAGCAAGATCCGAGTCATCCCTCGATGCAGGTAGATGTGTGTCCATTTACCACTAGTCAAATGTCTTCTGACAAGATAATATTCTCCCACTACATAAACAAACCAAACCAAACCAAGTTTTTTTAATGAAAAATATAATGGCAAAATTAAAAGGAACGTCAGTAGTCGCGTTGTCTTTCTTGTAGGGCTGGATGGCAACCTCTTGTCCTTGTGTGCAAATCGTCTGCACAAAGCAAAAATAATTCTTAGTCATCTAAATCACACTTTAGCTCATAACCAACCAAATATTGGATGCGTATCGGCGATTCTGTACATAATGTGCAATTTTCGAGACACGTGTGCAACACGTGATGCCAGATGCACATAATATAAACACATCAAACAGCAGACTTATATAGCTACACGCATAACCTGATCAAACACATGCTGCTATGTGCAGTACTTAGCAACAGTCATATATGGATACCACATAATATAAGTGCGCATTCGTTGGGAATTGTGCACACGTAGCGGGGTTATAAAGATATTTAATAATAAATACATATAGTGTGTGTAGGAAAAAGATAAGTCAGGCCGCTCTCTGATACTGCCGGCTAATTCAAAACTGCCATCATACACTGCTGGCAGTGATGAATATTAGCGTAGTTACATCGCTAACACGCTACTACTACACGTTAAATATTAATTACTCATACAATATGTTTAGAAGAGAAATGGCATATCGCAGGTCAGTGACACTCCATTCTCTAGAAGCCTTCAGACTCTGTGAGAACTCGTGTTTCCATGGCAACAATAGCACCGGGGAGGGACAAGTATAACGATGGAATTATAGTAATGCACCAGTACAACGTTATTACTATAGAAATAGAACAGAAGGTTCTATTTCTAGAAATTATTATTAATAGAATAGAATCAGCCGGTGCGATGATGGAATTAGTAATAAACCAGTGCAACGATATATAACACTATAGTACCTGTGTGAATATATATATACCTAGTGATATATAACACTATAGTACCTGTGTGAATATATATACCTAGTGATATATAACACTATAGTACCTGTGTGAATATATATACCTAGTGATATATAACACTATAGTACCTGTG